TATATCTTCAGAAATGAAATAAAAGCGGGGGCTGGGGTCTCTTTAACTTTTATTTTAATTTCCCCTCAAAATGTATAAATTGTGGATTTCTTTTCAGAGCACATTAAGCATTTTATTAGATTCTTTTTATTAAACCCAACAAATATCGACATCGCGGTAAAGAGACAGCCTAACAGCTAACTAGTTAGATACAGTGAGCCTAGCAGGGCAGTTATCAGTAGCTTGGGTTTCTTTTTGTGTTTGTTTTTTTAATTTGTTCTAAAACTACAACTTACAAAATAGTTTTCAAAAGTTTTTTTTTATATTGGGAAAAATTCAAATAAGAGTAATGCTCACGTAGATTACCTATTAATATTAACAGACCTGCAATCATTAAACAAAAACTAGTGAGTCGTTGGTGATTTTGTTCACTGGTGTGTGATTCCTGACATACATTGCTGCTGAGTATGTGACGATGGCGTGGCCTATTCTCGACATTAAGAAGTGCTCCAATAATTACTTGAATTTCACATAAACTAATAATAATAATAATAATAATAATAATAATAATAATAATAATAATAATAATAATATGCTAAGTAAGTGTTTGTAGTGCGTTTAATTGCTTTTCTTCTGATTTAGATGTTAATGATGACACGGGTGCTGTCCACGGTGCTGAAAAGAATACGTCAATGGGAAAATGAAAAATGAGCACAAAGTCTGCATTTATTACATAAGATATACTCAAAAAAAGCATTTTCATATTAGTCGTTGTATAATCTTATAAATCTATATGTATATATGAAAACTGTGTTCTTTTTAAATACAGCCACTCTCGTTCTTCTTTCTTAAGTTCCTAAACATTTCATTGCAGCAGGCCCAAGCATTCATGAGGATTACAAATAGGACAATTACACAGCAAATGCAATCACCCCCATTGGTAAATGTTATTGTGAGCTAGCAGCAAAAATCTTTAATTGTGCTACGTTTATCTGCTTCTTCGAGCCATTGTGCAAAGAGCGCAAACGAGGGTCATTTGCGAACTGAAATACTTTGCATGCAAAGCGGAACACAAGATGCTGTAATACTTGACCTTTCAGCATAATTGTTGAAGGCATGAAATGCAGCATTCAGAGCTCGCTGAGTGGAGTCTTTCTTTATCTCTCCCTCTGATGAACAAAGTGCATTTTATATATCTTCGGTGTTGGCTTTGTTTCTTTTGAGAAAAATTTCCCTGAGACTCAGAGGCGGAGCCAGACATTTGAAACACCCGGGGCTTAGCCCTAAAGGGTAGTATGCATGCGGGATATATATATATATATTTTTTTGGG